CTCTACACCTTGTTGTCTCAGATTCTCCAGCATCTGCAGTTCCTGCTATCTCCTTGGCAATTTACCCTCAGTTATTATTAACTGCTGCGTTCTCTATGGCAATACCTCTATCAATCACAGTCCACTTGCCAATCAAATCAGCACTGTCCTCTTGTACTGTATAAATGTTGTATGACCTTTGGTCATTCTTGGAACTTATCCTAAGGACTTCAAGTCAAAGAAACTTTGACAAAATGTGTCCTCTTTCAGCAACACTCAAGTTCTGTATCACCAAAATACTGAAGAGGAGATAGTCTGTGTACAGTTGAGGTATATTTCCATGAGGGAAAATAATATGAAAAACAAATGAGAAGCTCCCTGGATGAAAAGAAGCAGAGTGTAATTTGAAGCAGAAAAGGGTGTATGGCAGATCTTAGGTTGATAATACAAGTCAGAACCAGACAGAGCAAAGTTCAGAGGGGAAGTGAAAAAATAAATATGAGCTGCAAAAAGAGAATATGAAAAAAGACTGACAACTAACATAAGAAGGAATCCAAAAGCTTCTATCATTTATGAATAGGAGGAGAGTTACACTCTAGGAATCAAAAAGAAATATCCATGAGAGCTGAAAATATGGCTGAGGTACAAGACGATTTCTTTGCCATACCAGAATACCTTTATATCATAATTCCCTAATTCCAGGATTTTTTCCCCCAGTGGCACTGTAAAAGGGGCTATATATTTCCAAGCCTGGATAGTGAGTGGGTTGGAGGGGAACTTAAGAGTGGTGATGTTCCCATTTGTCTTCTGTCCTTATTCTTCGCCCGGGAAGGTGCCGTCTAAGGAATTTGGCAAATTTCTGCAGTTTATCTTGTAGCTGGTGCGCTCTGCATGCCACTGAGGATCAGTGGTTGACAGAGTCGATGTTTGTGAATGTGGTGCCTATCAAGCAGGTTGCTTTGTCCTGGATTGTGTCAAGTTTCTTGTCAATTGTTGTTTGGGCTGCACTCACCCAGGCAAGTGGGGAGATTCCATCACAGTAATTCTGCCTTGTAAATGGTGGTCAGTCTTTGGGCAGTCAGAAAGTGAATTACTTTCAGCAGTATTCCTAGTTTCTGACCTGCTGCTGGTTGTTGGATTGTCTCTTATTGGAGATAGTCATTGCTTGGCACAAATGTTACTTGCCACATGTCAGCCAAACCTGGACATTGTCTAGGGAGAAGACAATCAACATACAAAGAGAAGGCTGAGAGACAGAAAGAGAAACAAACAATTCTTGCGAGAAGTAGAAATACATTTCTTTCCAGAAGAGGTAAATTTTTATGTTTTGGTTTGAAAATGTTGGAGGCAACATGTGAATGACTAAAAAGGATTAAAACCTGGAAAGATGTACAAATAGCTTGGAGAATGCTAGAGAGGTGGATGTTTTCCAAAAAGTGGCCAAATCACAAACCAGTGTTACTGGTTAGTTGGTTGAAGCTATGAGCCAAGGGAGACCAGGTTTTATAGAAGTGTACTTTGCTTATGATAATTATATTTGTGAAACTTGGAGATAAAAAAAACTGTTGTCAGACTCTTGACATGCCCTTCATGAATGAAGCCCATATTGCTGAAAAGATTTGACACCTACTGCCATATGAGGAATGATGTGAGTGATTGTGATTGTGTAAAATATATTTTTGTTTAATCAACTATTTAAAGTGAAATTTATCTTTTATTTGAAGTATCATTTGTTAATTCACGTTTAATTTAGGTTGGTTCTGATTCCGTTAAAGTAGAAGTTATTGTAGATGAAACCTTTATGCTAATTTCTTTATTTGAGGTCCTTCAGGGATCATACCGACTAGCAAACTACTTCTTTATTTTTAGCCTTTTGTCTCCTCAATTTTCGACACTTGCTTACTAACTTGTCTGCCAGGCAGTAACCCATTATCTCTCTGCCTGCACACTAGAGTGACCATCTCCTGAAACATGCTATCAATGTGGCTCTCAACCTCAAAGATGCACTTTAGCTGCTGCTTAAGCTCTCACATTGAAGCATCAGCTCCTCTTGCTGACAACTTTGAACAGATTGACTGTAGCATGAAATGTAACCTGGAGTTCCCACATTGCACTGGATACGCATTTGTTGGAATAAAGGATTTCTTTTTATTATTTAAAAGTACCACAAATTGAGATTATTTGTGACTGATCAGGACAAACAATGCTTACCAGCCATTATCAGTTATCTTCTTCCATTGTGCTGATGTAACATGAGGTGTTCTATATCATGGATGGTCATGCTTGGTTACCTCTGAACTCTGAGTGGTGGAAGCAGATTCAGTAATAATTTTCAAAAGAGAATTGGCTAAATGCTTGAAGCAAAAAGATTGCAGGACTCTGCAGAAGCAACAGAGGCATGGGATTACTAAAGTGCTCTTTCAAGGAACCAACGTAAGCATGAAGGGCTAAAGGGCTAAATTGTCTCATTTTGTGCTGAACTGTTATTCCAAATTGGATTGGCACCAGTGTGATATGTGAATACCTGACTAACTACAATGCTGGATGCTTTACCAACAGCACACCAAGCACAGAATCTATTGCTTTCAGTGGAACTGTGAGAAAGAAGTTGTCACATCTGGCATAACCTGATTGGCTGTACCCATCAAGATGCTACAAGTAAAACCCTGGCATGTCTAACTGGCAATGATCATGGTGACTTATCTTTGCAGGGTCCAGATCATCAGAGAATCAACTGCAGAACTATGCTGTCAATACACATAGGGGCGGCATATCCAGTGACAATAATGGTAAGCTGCAGTGTGAATACAAGAATACAAAAATTAGGAGTAAGAATAGACCATTTGGCCCCTCAATGCTACTCTGCCATTCAAAAGATCATGGCTCATCTGATTCTGGTCACAATTCCACTTTCCTGTCTATTGCACCCAATAATATTGACTCCCCTGTCAGTCAAAACTCTGATTAACTCAACCTTGAACATATTCAATGACCCAGCCTCCATTACTTTCTGGAGAAGAAAGTTCCACAGACTAACAACTCTGAGAGAAATAAAATTATCCTGATTGCATTCTTTAATGAGGAAGCCCATATTTTGAAATTTTGTCCTTAGTTTAAGATTACCTCACAAGAGGAATTATCATCTTGGCTTCTAGTTGTCAGACCCCTTGAAAGGAGAAAATAAAGAATAGTGACTAGGGGTAATGAATTGAACAGCACAAGGGACTTTTCCACCACTTACCTGCCTAATCATACCTACATGTTAGCTCTTTTTCATGACTTTTATCTTTTTTTAGTTATCCAGTGCTCCTTTAGCCTCAGCAAATGGGTTGGTGACTGTCCCAAAGGTTTTCTCTAACTTTTTCAGACCTAGTGTAAAGACTCTAGCATAATTGACCCGCTCTTTAAATTTTATTTACTTGCAGTTTGCCTCTTCTGCAGTGAGCAGTCTCCCTTCACATGGAATTATGCTGAAAACTGAGTGCAAATAATACACTTCCAATTGAGTGATTCTAAAATCTGCTTCTAACCATTCATGTTGAAACCATACCCATGTTTTACTATTTTGGTGTCTGTCTCTTATTCACAAACCATACTCAACAGATTCTTCACCAATCTGTGCCTGCTCCTATTCCTGCCCATTCTTATATTTGCACACTTCAAACATTGGTTGCTCTTGAGCAAAGCATGTAGTTGACCTGCATTAGCAGCTAGCATTTGTAAAATGAATCCAAAATATCACAATCTCTATTTAATGTATTACATAATTGCATCTGTTTAGTATGAGCCATGTTCTGGGCTTTATGGTCCACATACCAGGCATAATATCAACCAGCCTCAGCATAAACTGAAATTATTTCGTTTTGCAGAGTTCCAGAACACTATACCACATCACAAGTCCGGAAAGCAATGTGGAGTTTGGGTTCGGAATGACAATGGCGGATATTTTGCTTCACCAAATTACCCAAATGCTTACCCTCCCAATAGAGAATGTATCTACATACTGGAAGGTAATGTGACTAATTCATCCTCATCTAACTCTTTGGCACTAGTTGCAACTTAGTGTCAGTTCTCAACACAAATTTGCTCATATTTAATGGTAGGGATTATCTACAGCATTTACATGAACAATGCAATTTAAGATTGCTAAACTGGAAGTTTGTCACAATGTTGCACAGTGATAGCCCTTTTGTTCGCAATGTTCTCAGAAATGATGAGAACATTCCTTTTGATAATTGAACACATCTTGAAGCCAACTTGGATGCTTTAGTCTCCAAGAATTATGTTTGTTGCTATTTTTCTGTATTTGCAGCAGCCCAACGCCAGCGAATTGAACTCACTTTTGATGAACCTTATAGCATTGAACCTTCATGGGATTGTCGATTTGATCACTTGGAAGTCAGAGATGGACCATTTGGATTCTCTCGTGTGATAAACCGTTACTGTGGTCAAAAAAGCCCATCGCTCATTAAGTCATCTGGGAGGTTCTTGTGGATAAAATTTACCTCAGATGAGGAGTTGGAAGGTTTTGGATTTCGAGCAAAATACTCTTTTGTACCAGGTGACTAATTTATTAGTATTTAGAGGGACTTTAAAAATTTTCAATGGTACACTATTAACTGTGCTGAGGGCATTAAATAGGAGGCAGCAATGTAGCCATTCATTATTCACTGTTCCTGATTTATTCTATAAAAGGCAAATCAGATGGGATGTAGAATGGTTAGCTGATCTGCCACCATCCATTTAAGCTCCCATCAAAGTTGAAAGTTTAGTACATTCACTGTTTGACTTATGTCAACCATATGTAATGAAAGCTTCAGCCATAGCCTAATTTGAAATCAAATTGTTGGGTTATACTGGACACTTTTATTGTTCCTTCAGCCAAAAGTAGCAGTGAGCTTTTCCCTTGTGTGTATTGTAATGATAATGCTCACACAAAGTTATGTATTAAGGGATTCCAATGTTTTGATTCAGCAACAATCAAGATTGGCAATGCATGCTCTAATCAAGGTGCTGTGACTTAAAAAGGACTAAAAGTTGATAATATCCCATGGAAATTTTCTGAAGAAGGGTCTAGGCCCCGAAACGTCAGCCTTCCTGCTCCTCTGATGCTGCTTGGCCTGCTGTGTTCATCCAGCTCTACACCTTGTTATCTCAGATTCTCCAGCATCTGCAGTTCCTACTATCTCTGAAACAACTTTCATTCCTGGAGCTATTTTTGAAAATCGCTTCTGTACTCTCCAATGCATTTACGAATTTCCTTTAATGTGGTACCCACAACTATGCACAATACTCCAGCTGAGGTCTAACAAGTGTCTTGTACAAGTTCAACATTATCTCCTTGCTCCTATCCACCCTGCCCCTATTAGTAAAGTTAAGGACTTTCTATGCTTTATTAACTGCACTCTCCAACTTTGATGATCTATGCACATATACACCTAAGTGTCACTGTTCCCCATTTAGAATTATACCCTGTCTTCTATATTGTATTTCAATGTTCTTCCCACCAAAGTCCATCATCTCTCTCTTCTTTTCATTGAACCTCATTTGTCACCTATCTGCCCACTTCACCAACTTGTCAATGTCTTTCCAGAATTCAACACTGTCCTCCTCACAGTTTACAATTCTTCCAAGTTTTGCATCATCTGCAAATATTGAAATTGATCTCTGCACACCAAGATCCAGATCATTAGTATGTTATCAGGAAAAGCAAGGGTCCCAACAACAACCCCTGAGGAACTCCACTACAAACCTTCCTCCAACCCAGAAATATCCATTGACCTTTACACTCTGTTTTCTATTACTCAGCCAATTTTTCATTCACGTTGTTACTGTCTCCTGTTTATACCATGATCTGTAACTTTCTACACACATTTGTTGTGTGGCACCGTATCAAACACCTTCTGGAAATCCATGTATTCCACGTAAACAGCATTACCATCATCAAGCATTTCTGTCACCTCTTAAGAAAACTTGATCACATTCATTAAACACAATTTCCTTGACAGAAATCCATGCTTACTCTTCCTAATCAACCTACCTTTTCCAGTGTGACTACTACTACTATGCTGTATAAAAGCTTCCCAAATCACCAGAGTTAAACTGACTGGTCTATATTGCTGGGATTGTCCTCACAACCTTTCTTGAATAAGGTTGTGATGTTTGTAATTCTCTAGTTTTCAGGCACCTCCTCCAAGTCAAGGGAAAATGGAAAGATTATGGCCAATGCCCTCAGAGTTTCTACTCTCACTTCCTTCAAAATCCTTGGGTGCATCTCAACCGATCCTAGTGGCATGTCCACTTTAATACCAACAGTCTATCCAACACGTCTTGTTTATTAATTGTTTAAATCCTTCTAGTGACAGAGTGTCGTCCTCTATCTCCGTGACCGAGGTAGCATCCTTTGCTTTTGTAAAGACAGATACAAAGTATTCATTTAACACTTCTGTCAAGCACCCCGCCTTGATGTGTAAATCCCATTTCGGTTTCCAATTGGACCTACTCCTCCTCTTACCATTCTTTTACTATTTATATGCTTATAGAAGGCTTTGGGATTCCCTTTATGTCAGCTGCTAGTCTTTTCTCAAAATTCTCTTATTTGCTTTTTCACCTCTCCACGAAACCTTCAATGTTTCTTTTTGTTTTCAATTGCATTTTTGTTTGCCTTACAGCTGTCATAAGCACACTATTTTTTTCTAATGTTAAATCTTACCTCTTTTGGCATCCCATTGAAGCCAGCTCTCCACCAATTTTCTCACTCTGGATTGTTGCAAGCCATTCTCCACCACCATCCTGAACTTTATGATACAATGATCACTGTCTCCTAAACATGCCCGAACTATCACTTGATCAACTTGGCCCACGTCAGTTCCAAGGACCTGGTCCAACAATGCATCTGTTCTTGTTAGATTGGACACATTCTACATCCTTTCTCCTAGTTGGTGATTCATAGATTACACTAAGCAATTCCTTCACTCCAGCCAAGTTGGGTCTGTTCCTGAACCCTCTGAGACTTGCTCTTATTCCAACCCTGCAATTCCCTTCTTGATCAATACTGCTATCTCTTCCTCCTTTCCTTCTGTTTTTATCTTTCAATGAGCAACTTATACCCAGGAATATTTAATGCCTAGTTTTGTCCATTCTTGGCCCATGTCTCTGTCAAAGCTACAGCATCGTATTTCCAAAAGGCAATCTGCATCTGTAACTCAAACAACCTTATTTACTATCCTCAGTACGTTTACACACATGTTGGTTTGGACCTCATTTCTTTCTGACCATTTTCCTTTATCCCAGGTTTCTCTTAAAGATGAGATTTTAATGAAAACTATCAAATGTTATGTGGCTTAACGTGCCATCAAAATTGAAAATACATTCCCTACTTTTACAGATCCTGACTTTATCTACCTTGGTGGAATCTTGAATCCCATTCCAGGTATTCTATTACCATTATATATTCAGGATGAACTTTTGTTAACATTTTAATTTATTTAAAATGTGTCTTTTTTAATTTTCCAATAAGTATTAATATTTTCTATTACCAGATTGTCAGTTTGAACTGTCAGGGCCTGATGGGATTATTCACTCGAGTCAAGTAGAACAAGAGGAGAAAATAAAACCTGGAGAAGCAATTGACTGCATCTGGACAATAAGAGCTCCACCCAAAGCAAAAGTAGGTTATGTTTGTGCTTCTCAGATGTCAAGGTATGGAAAAGATTTCTAACTGAGGTTCCCATTCAGACATAGAACATTTGCAGCCTCATGTTAAAACTGAAACATTGCAGTTTCAGGGTCATGCCACTGACAAACAAAGAGAAGCCAACACCAAACATTGTTTAGAAACTGCCTTCTTGGAGTAAAGGTATTGGTCCTCATCTGAGATAGTAAGAACTGTCAATGCTGGAGTCAGCGATAACACAGTGTGGAGCTGGAGGAGCACAGCAGGCCAGGCAGCATCAGAGGAGCAGGAAAGTTAACGTTTCGGGTCAGGACCCTTCTTCAGAAATGGGGAAGGGAGCTCAAATAAATCAAGCCAGGTGGGTTGGGGCTGGGGAGGGTAGGTAGGATGGTGATAGGTGAGTGCAGGTAGGCAGTGGTGGGGATTGGTCAGTGAGGTGGGAGGAGCGGATAGGTGGGAGAGAAGATGAACAGGTTGTGTCAGGTCAAGGAGGTGGGGATGAGAGGGAGGGTTGGTCATGGGACGAGGCCAGGGATGGGGAGATTTTGAAACTGGCAAAGTCCACATTGAGACCATTGGGTTGTAGGCTCCCAAGGCGGAATATGAGGTGCTGCTCCTCCAGTTTCCAGGTGGCATCATTGTGACACTGGAGGAGGCCCAGGATAGACATGTCGCCCAGGGAGTGGGAGGTGGTGTTGAAATGGTTCGCAATTGGAAGGTGTTGTCGTTTGTCGCAAACAGAGCACAGGTGCTCTACAAAGCGGTCTCTGAGCCTCCGCTTGGTCTCACCGATGGAGAGGAGGCTACGTTGGGAGCAGCGGATGCAGTAGACCACATTGGCGGATGTGAAGGTGAACCTCTGTCTGATGTGGAAGGTTTTTTTGGTTCCTTGGATGGAGGTGAGGGGGGAGGTGTAGGGGCAGGTGTAGCACTTCCTGTGGTTGCAGGGAAAGGTGCCGGAGGTGGTGGGGCTAGTGGGGAGTGTGGAGCAGATGAGCGGTCCTTACAAAAGGCAGATAGGGATGGGGAGGGAAATATATCCTTGGTTGTGGGGTCAGACTGCAGGTGGTGGAAGTGGCGGAGAATGATACGTTGAATCCTGAATTTAGTGGGGTGATATGTGAGGACAAGGGGGATTCTGTCTTTGTTTTTGTTGAGGGGAGGGGATGTGAGGGCAGAGGTGTGGGAAATGCAAGAGATGCGGTCAAGAGCATTTTCACAATGACGCCATCTGGAAACTGGAGGAGCAGCACCTCATATTCCGCCTTTGGAGCCTACAACCCAATGGTCTCAATGTGGACTTTACCAGTTTCAAAATCTACCCACCCCTGGCTTTGTCCCATGACCAACCCTCCCTCTTATCCCCACCTCCTTGACCTGACACAACCTGTCCGTTCCTCCCACCTCACTGACCTACCTGCACTCACCCATCACCATCCCACCAACCTTCCCCAGCCCAACCCCTCCTCTATTTATTTCAGAGCTCCCTTCCCTCTTCCCCCATTTCTGAAGAAGGGTTCTGACCTGAAAAGTCGATTTTCCTGCTCCTCTGATGCTGCCTGGCCTGCTGTGTTCCTCCAGCTCCACACTGTGTTATTGCTGGTCCTCATGCTGTTTTGTGGAGTCAAGATGCAAATAGTTGTTATTTCTCCACGTTAGTTTATGCCCCAAAAGACTGAAATTAATGCAAGGAAATTGTTACTTCATTGTCATTAATCTATTTTAGCAATAATCTCAAACTCTGTCAGGAATAAATGCAAAGAAAAACTTCAATAAACTTCATTTGGCCAGTGATAGTAGGAACTGCAGATGCTGGAGAATCTG